CTACAGGCATTATGCGTAAGAAAAAAACCAAGTGCAGTTTTCCTCATTTTAGCTGTTGTTGATATTTTAGCACAAACCTAAACAACGGATTACCTGCACTCTGTTCACAGCATATTTCAATGTAGTAACTCAAGAAAGAGACTTGCCATTAAACCACCAGGGTATACCGTATTTTAGATACACCATTATCACATGATTTAACACAATTCCTACTAACTGTCAAACAACTTCTACAGCGGCATACAAAATAATGTATTATAAGATATATAACACATTCCTCCTATAGATCTTCATAAATACGATTTGCATTTCTTCTATTAAAAAGAAATAATGCATCCGCTTCTTACACCTATTTTAATTACTTAATCGCGATCAATATTGTCTACCACACAGACTTATTTTGGTTTGGGGGCTGCCAACATTAACTACTCTGTTAAGAACTGAAGAGTTATTTGCGTAGTTATAACAACTCATTCGTAAGCAACTCAAACAAACTTTTGATAATGAGTCCACTATAGCTTTGTATGAAAGCTGTTTTGCTCAACAGGAAATATATAAATGATAAATAATAGCTTTAATATAGACAATTTTGGCCACAAGCCCATAAAACTAAAATAGTCGAAATCAACATTTCTTTAATACTTATTTAGAGGGCTGTTGTAGTCATACTATTGTGCATTTTGTTTGCTTCACTCTCCGTATTTTAGCAGTAAATATACTTAAATTATTCCATATTTCTACGTTTGGAGTTTTTATAATGGGTTATAATGGCTAGGTTTATATAATGATATTTAGATATAGATATATTCCTTAATTCATTAAATTGTAGACAAACATTTCTCAGGCAATAACTATACTATCTGATGCACCTATCTTTCCATAACGACCTATTTCTGATTCGAAACTATGATTTGAAAAGGTTATATTTTTTGTGTTAGGTAATTAATTAATAACGTAACTAATTCTTTCTGTTCAGCTTCTTTTAGAGTTGAAATTTATTAACATCTCTTAGTTAGAGTTTAATCACGCCTGACACAAAAAGTAAAAGCTTTATTATAGAATGAAAACATATAAGCTCACGTTAGACAATGAAATCCATACCATAACCAGCTTTGAACTTCGGAGACGAGTAATGTCAGCTCTTATCAACCCAGCTAGGTCGATGTAAACCCAAAGAAATTTTATATGGCTTTAGTTATAGAAAATAACTTTGTGTAACCTCAAGCTCTATCTTGAAATGTATATATAATAAAATAAAGAGGAGTGAGCTCAAGTTTAACAAGATTATTTTCTTATTTTAATAGTAGTAATGCTTTCGCAGCCTTCAAATTGTTCTTCAGTCAACAACGAATCGATTAAAGGACATAAAGTAACAAACTGGTAAAAAAATAACTTTATAATATTCAACATTAATATAAAGAATAGCAGTATCTGAATACAGAAATAAAGGAAGAGCTAAATTTGAAAAATAATATAAATGAATTAATAAAAACTTTTGATAGCTTATAAAAACCTACCTTTCAAATTGCAATATTTTCTAAATTCAAAGGTGATTTAAACGTTTTTAATAAAATATTGTTCATCAATTAGTCTTTGCGAATTCGCCATTTTAAGCATTTTCGCACCTACAAAGTCCTATAAGAGTTGGTAAATTTTGATTTTTTAGATCTTTGTTATCTTTCGATGTATTATGAGATTCTACACTCTAATTTTCTGCACATTTATCCATATACATATTCTCACATTTTGAACAAGTGACAATATTCTTTTACAATGACTAATACAAATTTAAAAGCGTTAATCAAAAATATTTTATATGATCTAGCAAAAGTGATGAAAATCACATTTGACCTAGCAGTATTTTAATACGATCTTGTTAAATATACCACAACGAATTTTAAAACAGAAGTGTGTCTGTTGTAAATAGCAAGATCTTATCCTAAGTCATCTTTTGTTAAATAGCAGGAATCATCATCTGAGCTGCAACTATGGCAGCAAATAGTCTATCTGACGCACTACTTATATTTAGTATTAAAAAATAGTGCTATAGAGTAACAGACCTATGATGGCAAATTAAGTCGCTTATTTAGGCTAAAAATACGTAATAAAAATCACAGTATCTGAACAACAACAATTTAAATATAATCTTGAATGATGATCGCATTTCATAGACATATTAATGTATAATCATCAAATCAGTTCTGAAACTACTGTTTAGCAAAAGCTGAGATGTCTGGATTTTAATAGTTTTAACATTTTAAATGGCATTTATGTTAAGTTTTCATTAGTCGGAGTTATTTGGAATTATTTTACTTTATTCCATGCAAAAATGTTTTATTGAGAATATTCGGAAATTAAATCAGTTTCAAGCTCGTCTAATTGACTGCATGATTTTTGATGTTCAAATAATATTGCCATTATTATTTTAAAAAAAACGCGTGAGCCTTTATTTATGCGATTTTTGAACCAACACAGTGAGATCACTTTCGTTATTCATTTTATAATATCACTAAAAGTAATGCCAGATAACAACAGATGACGATAAAGTAACAATTATTATACTTGGCAGGCAGTAAATGCTCGTAAAGATTATTGAAAAACAAAGTTGATAGCAGACATGCAGACTCTCCTCTGAGACCACTTTTTTTAATAGAGTAGCATTAATCCTGATAAAGTACATTATTTTAAATAAAGCTTGAACGGCGCCTCCATCCTTTTGTACAGCCCGAAAATTATTGATGAGGGAATTGTTCTAGAAACCGTTCGAACATAGATACAGGATCCAAAAGAGAAACTAATCAACAGTTTATGCTAAATAGTTTTTTTCGATCAATCAAATCATTAGTTTGAACATTTGTCGATTTTCATGATAAGTAAAGTACAATCGTGGTTAGTTCAATATCTGTTAACCGTGTTTGACGATTAAAGTATAGACGAAGTTATTGTATGTGAAAAAAATAAAATAATGTAGAATACGTTAAAAATACAGTTAAACAAGTAAATTTCACATGACAGTGATCTAATATTTGTATGGACAGGGTAGAACTACGAACTGTATTTTATTTATGTTAATAGTTCTCTCTGACATAGTATTATTAACCCAACTAATACTCTATTTTTGGAGGGGAGAGGGCAGAATTACAATCCTAACTATATGAAACTAGTCATGGGCCAACTGTAGAGAAACAGATCATAAAATTCAGTTAGTGTAAATGCACACAATACTATAAAATATTAAATCACTATCTAATACTTATCTTAATCACCACTTATACATCAGATTGAACTAAGTAAGAATGAATGTCTTAATCATTTCTATGTACATTAAATAAGGTATTCTAAAACTACAAGAACGGTTTACGAAGACTGATTCTTAATCACCATGTTACCGAAGACTTGTCCAACATATTCCGTGAGATTTGAAATGTTCTAATCCTACATGGAACTTTCTGAGTAAAAATTGAAATTCTACTCAAAATGGAAAAAGTTTAAAAAGTGCTGTTTCTTGACAGAAATACTTTGGCTTGAACACACATACGTACGTTTTATACATATGTGTTTATATGCATTTGTTTAAATCTACAAAGCTACAAAAAGGACTGTCTGCCATGGGTATCGAACCTCAAATCTCAAGTTTATAAACTCTCAGATTTACCGTTGAGTCAGGGGCAGGGGTGCATATGTACATATATAATTTGTTTTAAAGTCCACTTATGCGTGTGAAATAATAAATTAAAGAGTTACATGTCAAGGTTAAATTTTTATTTCAATAGTGAGAGCACTTACTCAACATTAAAATTACTCTTCAGCCAAACAACATTACGATATTTGAATTTTTCGGTTCAACTTGTGTCAATTCAAGAATTAAAAAATCGGATCATTGTTAGCTGATGAAAGTGTTCCCATTATCAAAATAGAAATTTAACTTTTATTTTATTACATGTGTGTATCGAATCCCCGTTATAGACAGAACACCTATAGACTGTGGTATAGCATTGCACTAAAACAAACTTTTAATGTGTCACTTTCAGAGATTATGTGCTACAAGATAGTGTAAATTTGTAAAAAAATTATTGTAACTTCAACAGTTGGAGTAGAATTTGGTTTTATGTCGTAAATATATTAAAAAATCGTTATTTAAGAGTGTAAAGTTTTGTCTTTATGCGAACTGTAATAAAATCTGTTATCACCTTTAAGGTGTTATATTTATGGAAATTTAATGGTAAATTGAATGATCTAATTAACTTTGCGTCATTTTCAATATCCGAGATTCTTAAATAAATAAATAAATGTTATTAAAATTAACATCAAAGTTTACTCTGATTTGAACGAATAACTATAGATTAACGTGTGTGTGTGTGTGTGTGTGTGTATGTTTACGTTCTTTGTTTTGTTTTTTCAATGACGAAATCCATTGCTTTAAACAACAATTATACCGATCTGTTAAACTATGTATTCTAACACATGAAATATTTGTGTTTTTTTGGAAGAAAAACAACTGAATGATTGGAAGTTATTATGTCACTCATGTAACAAACCTTTCAGGATGTGAGAAATGCTAATAGGTATTCAGAATTGTCAATCAGTGACTATTTGTTTTACATAGGGCGTTAAATAGTTTCAGAAAAGGAGTTTAGTCTTAGCTTTTGTACCAGAAACAAGCTATAGAGTTGTTTCACATCAGGAAGTGGGTCTAGAATGCACTCCCTGTGTTCTAATGATATCAATGTTAGTTGGCATTTTTCCATCGAAGCCATATGTCAAGTAGACATTCGCACGTCATCAAGGGAATACTACATTTACGCCCTTTGTTCCGAACACTGGCTTGGCAGCCATCAATAAGTTGCCGAGCCTGCCTCCTAGAGGACAAACTCGAAAACGCGCCAAATTACTACGACTGACGCATTTACTCAGGCGCCTGAATCACGTGATTCCATATTGTGACCTACCTCCCGATTCTGGGCCGCTCACTTTTCAGTTACACCGCGTCCCGCACGCGATCCTGAGCAACTGATGGACGCACAACAGAGGAGCAGAGATCTCGCTGATTTTGCTTTCGTTTTTCTATTGATGTGGTGATCATCTCTATCTGCGAACAACAGTTTGATTGAACGACCATTGGTATTTCAAATATTATTGCTGTAGTTTCTTGCAAATAACAATTTTGACTGTAAGATTATAAATGACATTCAGTCATATGAACCCGTACTGTATTTGAAAATTAGTATATGTATATATATATATATATATACATATATAAAATATGTCACAGAATAGTCCATCCCGATTCACAGCCTCTGGGAGTTCATTGGCGGACGAAAATGCACTGTCTTTCTTCACATATCGGAGAAGAACTTGGTTGCAGAGAATGTTTGCCTGTGTAATTACTGGTGAGTAAATACTTCTTCACATAGTCTTCTTCTCTGAGCTGCTTATATTTTTGTATGTCTCACTGGAGAAATGTATAAGACGTATATTATATCAACTAAAATAGTAATATTTAAAAAATATATTGACATTTTCAGTTTTTGAATGTTACACAGCTTGCAAACAATCAATTTACTGTTGAGTGTTAATTGAGTACATCTTTGAACAAATGGTATCCATTTTAGGGATCAGATTAAACACGTAAAAATCATTCATGAAAGATATTACTGTTTCAACATTGTTCTTTATGTGGACAAGGCATCGGGGCATTGATGTTTGTAATTATTACTTCTAGTAATAAAGATAAAATGATATTTCAATAAATTAGTATTTTTTCAGGGATAAAAACTCTCTTGTTTACGTTCTTGCATAAATTTTTCTATGGGCATTAATAAATGAAGTTTTTCTATAATATTGCAAGATCTAAAATCTAAGACAAAAATCCATGCCAGAGTTGTTAATTTTTTAACCCTTATGTTCATTGTTTATAAAGTTAGAGTTTGTATGATATTGATATCTTAGATGTGTCCGTTTGATCTTATTCGAGCAAAGTTCTCAAGTCCATTACTTACAGTCCTTCATTTTTTTTTTAATTCCTTGAACTAGAACTGAAGTTGAAAAACATTAACAGTAGTTATTTATTGCTTAAAAGATGTGTGGAACTTCAGCTCTTGCACCTTTCAGCCTCTCCTCAAAAATCATGTTCCTATTCCTTGGAATTCATTTCCAAATTTCAGCCTCTTCTCAATAATAATGTTCTTATTCCTTAGAATTTCGTTCCACTTTTCAGCTTCCCGTCAAGAATCATGTTCCTAGTCTTTGGAATTTCCTTCCAACTGTTAGCCTTCCGTCATGCATGATATTCCTATTCCTTGGAATTGTTTTCCTTTACGTATACGTAACTCACCAGAAAGAAGATTACTTTATATAGATGTTAAAATTAACTTTTAAAATAAATATATCAATAATGATATTATAATTTAAAAAAATAGAACTCATTCTATTAACCGAGCAGCCTTTCGAAGCAGTTTAGAGAAGTGCTAGAATTCATGAAAAATTGTTTACTTATTTTCATCAATTTCTTGTATTATATTAATGACTATGAACTCAAACTTTCAATCCATTTAGAAATATTAACTTATTTAACAGTTGAAGAGTTTCTGCTGTTTCAGACTCAACGTCACTATAATTCATAACGCTTGCAAGCGCCGAAATAAATAACTATCAGTTTCAAGTAAGAATATTTATTTTTCTTACTTTTCCAATCTTTCGCATATTTAGATTTCACATATTTGTATAACGTAATTACTACACAGATTACTACACGTGATTACCATACGTGATTACTACACGTGATTAGAACTACAATAAGTGGGTAAAAACTACCCTGCTTGACCTTGGGTATTCTATTAAAAAAAACTTCTAACTACTATATATATATCTATATATGTGCGTATTACATACAGCATATATATATATATGCGTATTACATACAGCTTTGTAATTTATACGGCCGCTACGGTTGTGAAATATGTGCATTTCAGGTTTTGTGTAGTGTGGTGATAAGAAAAATATATTTTTGCTTTTACTATCGCAATGTCCAACCAACTTTGTGAAGGTAATCATATTTCCAAAAATAAACTGTTCATTTGTAGGCATATTGCGTCCAGGCTGAGAGTTATTGTTAACATTTTTTCAATACTTTACTTAATCAGTTAAAACCGATATAATATGCAAATAAATGATTCTGTTTTATTTAATAAGGTTAAATGCTTATTTCTTTTAGGATATATATAATATTTTCTGGGTAAAATGCAAATGCGTGATAACAAAATATCAATTTACTTTTTGGCTCTAAACTTGTCAAGGATAACACTATATATATATAGTGTGAAATGAACACATTACAAACTTCTTTTAGGTAACCAGTATAGGAATTGCAGTTAAGAGCAGTGTCATGTCTCATCAGAACAGCTAATGTTACCCAGTGTAGTCTTGTAGGATTTTACTTCACATTTCACTTTACCGAAGTATGAAGAAGAAGAACAGTTGAGCAATAAATTTAGGTAAACAGATGACGGCTTCAACCTCTCTTTCTGAAATATATACCACTATATATATATATTATGTAATGTTATAGGAATAGAATAGCATTCCCAAGACTCGGTGTATTGTCTTGTCTCTTATTGATTTCGAAACGTATGAAATTATACATAATTGAAGTGAAGTCTCGAAGTTTAAATGTTAATATAGGTGAAGCTAACACATCCAATTCTACTTCTAACACTAATGCCGATATTATATGAACAGACATAGCCCTTCTGTTTACCATGAACATTTTTTAATACGCTTATTAAAGAACAACAGTTAGCTGGTGTATACTTCAGATGTTATTTTATCTTACGGCGGACTAACTAGTTTGAATTAGGTTTAATTTTGTGTCTTATTTTTCAGTAAGTAAACACTGAGTAGTGATTTATTAGTAAAATGGTCTAAAGATTCGGAAAATAGTAAGAAAAGATAAAATCGAACTCATGTTGGGTGGACTTTGTTTATTCAACTATATTCGTATTTTTGAAGAAACTATGAGTGTACGGTTTTCTAGCTTGATTTTAGAATTACAGTCCTTGTAAAAATGTTTAAATAACAAGATATATATATATATATTCAATAACTGCTTTCAAACATAGTCAGAGAAACATGTGTAAACGTTATTGCATAACGTGTCAGAATTATAGGCCTGCTTTTGGTATCATCCTCATAAAATGTTGCCTGTATTTCTGAGAAGTGTCCCTTTTCGTACTCAGGGATACGATATAATAGTGATCTAATAGTTATATTTCATTACTGGACTGATGATGCGACTCATTATTAGCAGCTGCAGTACTCAGGAGTCACGGTATGGACTCTCACAGTCTTTGTAAGATGATATTTTGACTTAACTCTACATATATATATTCGTCTGTTTCAACTATACATGCAAAGCCATGCAAGGGCTGCCTGCGATATTCATCCCTATAGTCTAATGGTGAGATTTAACCGTTACTTTTATAACGTATTTACTGACCTCAAGTGCGGAGTGCGATTATTTTTTCTTTTCTTTTTTGAGATAACTGAACGTGAACCACGGATTTTCGGACCACAGTCCGACACGCTGATATTGGTCACGCCCGGCGCATCATAAATTTAGATTCGACTCTTCTTTATATGGGGGTGAAGTTTCCTTAAGTTATAATTATCTTCGAGAGATAAGGAATAGAATCAGTTTGGTAGGCAATTAATAATCAGGGCCAGGTTTAACTTATTTTGTCTTTTTATCTTTTCCTCTTCCAAATCGCACAATTTAAAATACATTAATCTAACGACTAACGAATAAAATCATTTTCAGATGCACCTGGTAGTGACATTTTCCTGTTTATTTAAAACCTAACTAATACGTTTGTACCTTAACGTTATGACACCAGTTCTAAATTGATATGAAATGGAAGATTTAGATATAGATGTGCTTATATATGCAAACAGATAAGTTTGGTGTAGAGCTCATTTCACACAAGTATTTCAGTATATTTTCTTAGTCTGTTTGTCACAAATTATAACATAGAAAGAAGCAAATGTGTTAGAAGACAATAGAAACAAAAGAGGCGAAAAATTACTGATAATAATCAAATAATATGATAAGTATGAACATGCTAAATTTCATTGTCAGTTAAGTGAAAATATTGCTGTATCTAAGAAAGTACTGGTTAAAGTTATGTTAAATGTCATCATTAGTTATAGCAATAATAATATTACTAATATTTTACGATCGTTATTATTATCATAAGTATTGTTAATAGTGAATTTGTTGTTCATTTCTGGGGATATAAAAAAGATGGTGTAGGTAGATATTACGTTATTTATTTTTATTATTCATCGCACTGCATAAAAATAATAACAACTTTTACTGGGGTAAATAATTATCATATCGAAATAATAATATTCTTGGTTAGTAAAAAGTGTCGCTTTATAAGTAACATTGGAATACCTCTTGGTATTTGTTCTGTGTCGATAAGCACAGTAAATATAGGTTAATACACGAAGTTATGTTTCGTAAGTCAATTCATAGTAGCATTTGAACTTATCATTAGAGTTTGTCTTTTTAGTTATTTAATAAACATGAAGCTCGTGATTGTAAGTCAGAGGTCTTGTTTTGTCTTGTAAAATATACTAAGATTGTTGTTGGTAAATAATACATCTGTTCACTATCATAATTATCCAGTAATGATAGATTTTCGTTGACGGTAACCTGTTTTGGTTTGATTTGTTTTTTAAGTGTTCATGTGATTCTTAATTATTATCGTAATTACCAGAAAATGGCAAAGTTTAGGGTAAGTAAAGTTGCTGGTTAGGCTGAGAATAATTTTGGTTGGCTATAACTTTATTGTATTTTCGTTAGAAGAAAGATAATTGCCATAGGTTAGTACGATGTTTGTTTGTTTATTTAACTGGCTGGTTTATGCGCAAATTTACACAATAGGCTATCTGTGAATTGCCCACAGTGGGTATCGAACTCCGATTTTCAGCATTATAAGCCCTCAAGCTTACCGCTGATCCATCAGAGAAGCAGGCTAGTACGAGTTCTGATATTAACAGCCGTTGAATGAGAATGATATTGAAAACAGTTATGACTCTCTATACGATATACATATTCCATTGCCAATTTTACTTTAAATTGCTCGATTGTTTTAATATCACACATGTACATATAATATATATACAAAATTCTCTTTCAGTGTACATGAATAAATCAACACATGTACTTAGCCATTCATAAGCCCTGCACTCGGAGTGAGCTTACTGAGAAAACGCTGTCACTATGTGTTCGATGCGTTCAAAAATTTAAACGTTGCATGGAGAAAACTAGTTTGAAATTCTTAATCGCTCTTTCCTCACTCCGTATTTCACGTTCGTTTTCAGGAAATGA